ATTTGGCTCGCCTTTTGATATTCGCTCTCTCAACTGGTTGCGTAGATCGCGAAGGAGTTCTCGCTGATACGGTGATTTATCTTATTTATATAATATATAGAGGCGATATAATTTTTTTAATCATATAAATTTGGAATTAATTTTTTTAATGTAGATCCAGGGGGTATAATAATCTCCGGGCATAAAAGTTTGTCAAAATAATCGTTGTGTAAATTCTCACCGTATTCTAGATCTATATCTAAAATGGCCCCCCAATTATTATCATCCACAATATTTGATGTTTCTAAATCATTAGTTTCAGATTGTGTCATTCATTTAAAATTTCCTTATGGATGATGCTGACTTAGTGCAGCTCCATATAGATTGTTTGCATCGAGGTATAATAAATATGTCGATGGTTTTAACAAATCGTAGTAATTGCTATATTTATTATAAGCTTTACTATAATGAAATGAGCATTGAGATTTCTCCACCTCGAATCCCATTATTAATAAAGCTAATAATTTCAATGTCATTCATCAATTCCAATTTTACCCCAGTAATTTGCTTCATATCTTCGAAACTTAATCCGGGTGAAGTTATAAAATGACAAGATCAAGCCCATAATTTTTTAAACAAATACTTCGAAAATTTTCAAAAAATATCAGCTAAAAGAGAAACATTAGTTCTTAAATATAAATCAGAACAATCCCCCAAAATTTATCCCAAAATTATTTTGCATGGAGATAATCCTCGTCTGTTACTTCACTCGTATTCAATAAACTACAAAAGAAGAATTTTGGAGGTAGCGTGCATTTATTCAGTACATTTATATCAGTTACATATGAGTATGGAAGTACATCCTTACGACACATCAACTTAAATTTTTCATCATCAGAATAAATTTTTCTAGTTAATTTAAACTGGTCGAGGGTTAAAGTTTCAGCTAATTTTTCTAATGATGATGGTATAAAATTTAAAGAATCAATAAATTTTATAGTAATTTACTTGTTATTTAATGTTTTAAATAACAATAATACTAATGTTTTAATAGCTTCGATTTCTTTACTAGCACAAGCTCTTCTACGATCATTCGCTAGATTTCTATTATCAATATTAGTTTAAATATTTTATAATTTTTTGTCGACGCCAACCATTGAACCAAGATGCCCTTTTTTCGCTGAACTATTAAAAATTCTTTGTTTTCCTTAATATTTATAATATTAAAGGTATCAGCATGAGCTATATCAAACAAATTTTCAAGGTTCGAAACAAAATCAGAATTTTTTTTATATTGAGCTTCAATTTTTCGGTATTATGATTTTTGTAAATTTCTGCAGTCGTGGTACAATTTTTCTACTTTTTCTATACAATGTTGTTCAGTTATTGTCGGTATACGGGCTTTTTTTCCCCCATTTACGGGACACGAGGGGAATTTTTTCAAATTTCGAGGATAATGCTTTTGATAAAATACGATACATAATCTTTTGTCGTATCGTTGAAAGAAATCGATTCGGTGAGAGCTGAAAAAAGTGGTAACAGACACAAAATAAAAATAAATAAATAAACAAAAAAAAACTTAGTAAAATTAATACCATCTCAGCTTTGTAACAAAGCAAAAGTGGTATAAGTTTTTTGGGGTATTTTTAGTCAAAATACTAATAAAACGTTGAGTGACTAGTAAAATTGTTTTTAAAAATATCAAATTTTCACGAAAGGCCTATATTGATGTATATAATACAATTAAAATGATTCTCATTAAAATTTCAATAGTCGATATTTTTTGATTCACCTTAATGTATATATTTTTGCTACAATTGTTCATATGCACATAAAGAGATGTAGATAGTGCTAAACTGATTTTTTAGCTTGGATGCGAAGTTGAGAAGGTATTAATTTTGCTATAATTTGTTTGTTTTGTTATAAAATAATAATGAACTAAATAAGTAAAATTTACATCGAAAACACATAAAAGTACAAATAATGGATGTTACTTACATTAATTATGAATAATATTAATAATTCGAACACATAGAATATTGAAAATACAAATTAATTAATTACTATGACACATTAAAAATAAAATTGATTTTTTTTACGACTTCATAAAAATACTACCAGCTTACCACACCCTACCAGCTCTCACACTTGGCGCGAACAAATAATAACTTTAAAACAAAATATTTTAACAATAATTAAATTATATTATCATAATATATTTTTTGATAATGTACTTTTTTTAAATTAAGAAATTTATGTAACTATTGTACGCACTCCAAAAGGAAGGATCGATTTTCAAAAATCAGTGTTCAGATTAAATAACTGTAAATTTGTAAAACACTTGTACATTTGATAGTAACTTACTACCAATTATTTCGTGGGAATAATTATAAATAATAATATAAATAACTATAAAAATAGTTATCTTTAATAATAATATAATTAGTATTATCTTAAAGTAATTCAATAAACCAAAATTGATATATTGATACGACAAAACATAATAATCAATAAATTTTGTTAGGTTTGTAATTAATCATTAATTAACTGTCCATAAAATAATAAATTTAATATAATTATCGTACTTGGCATAAAAAATTGAATTTTAAGACTCTTTTAGTTTCGATGCGAAGCGGAAAAGGTATTGGTATTACTATTTTTTTTTTTTTTTTTTACAAACTACCAAATGGCTTTATTATTTAAACGATAAAATTATCTTTATATATATATTTTACAATAATTGTATATGAAACATAGTTTTATAACAATTAATAAAGAATAAACATGTGTGGAGTGACACCTCCAGCGAGGTGGCTCCTTAACCTAAGTTAAAACTAAATATTTTAAATTAAGTCATATGGTTTATGACGTTTAAGACGCCTAATGTCTTCGGAGTTGTCCAAAAGTTGGATGGCTGCTGTGTTAATGTGGTTCGTTAATCTCAACACATGTTTGCGAGCAAATCTCTTAATTTCTTTTGCTACTGTAGGCAAAATCAAATCACGGTGTATAATGTCATTTCTATCGTACCGATAAGCTGAAACGATGGTACGGAGTGCAACATTTTGGCATCGTTGAATAACATCAATATTAGACTTACTAGTACAACCCCACAGTTGTATACCGTAAGTCCAAATTGGTTTTATGATAGCTACGTAAAGTAGACGTTTGTTATTTAATGAAAGTTCGGAATGTTTCCCGATCAACCAGTATAACTTTTTCATTTTTAG